GGCTCTCTGTGGACAAGAGTGAGTACCTGCTGGCAGATTTTGACCTCACCTCCCTGGCTCAGTCTCCCTTCTCCCTTGTGCCCACCAAGAAGGAGCCCAGTGCTGTCCATGCACAGCACCTACCCATGTCTCCCTGCGTGTCTGTTTGGTGGACACAGTAATGGCTGCTTTGGAGCACTGTGGAGTCAAAGCCATGGCCTTTCATGCTGCATGGGAGGCTCTCAGAAGCTCTCACAGTTAGGACAATCAGCACAATTCTTCCAGAAGGACTGACCAAGGTGCTCCAGAAGCAGCTTTTTTCCCTATTCCCCACTTGGTCACTCACCCTGGGCTTCTGCTGCAGACCTCCCATACTGCCAAACATTGTTCTTGCTCTGGTCTTGCACTGCATTTTGATTGAATCCCATACTTACATCCGTATCAAAATATGTTCCTTCTAGATATTCTATCATTGTCATGGTTAATAAGTGACAATATCCAAGCACACTGAGATGCTCCCACCTGCTCTTTTACTAAGATCCCATGGTCCTACTGTGCAAACCCTATGGGGAGCCAGGGCAGCCTGTGCACAGCAGAGCCTCATACCTCAGAGCCACTGGATGTCCTTGGAGGATGTAGCTCACAGGAGCTGCAGGCTGCTGTGAAAAGCTGGGGGGCTGTTCCTCATTCCCCTGCAATAAGGGGCAGTAACAATGGGCTGCGCTGCTGGGCATCTTCCAATACTGTGCCAAACACGGTTTCATAAATGCTTGAAAAAAAAAACACCAAACTATTCCAGCAACTGCATGTAGTAAACTTTAAAACAAAGACACTAATTTTTATAGCACAGCCACGGTCACAGATCGAATCTCAACATTTCCCAACAGAACCCAAGTTCCACATTTCCAAGCACGTCAGTGTAGAAGGGAACTGATCTGTGATTCATGGGGTTCGTGAAGCCATAAGCATCCAAGAGGGAAGGAAGCTCAGAGGTCATATGTCTACATGTCTGGAGTAGCCTTGCATCTGCTTCCGTGTAACTCACCAGACCCCATACTTGCAGGTCTCCCAGACCGAACACCTGAAGCTGAGATGAACCAACGGGAAGGAAGCACGTTCTCTATCGAGTGCCCTTACACAGCACAGTCTGACAACAAGCAACTGAAAGCCTGGTGCCGCGTAAGAAATGAACGATGTGAGCTTGTAGCATGGATACTTGCCTCAATGCAGTACATATATTCAGACAGGGCCAGGCAGGGCCACATTGCAATACAGGATGACAACGGGACCGTGACCATCACCATGTCTGACGTCCAGGCAGAGGACTCAGGCATATATTCCTGTATGTACAGCAGCAACTATGTTCCACTAAAGACCATCTTGCTGAATGTTTACAAGGGTGAGTACTATTTTTTTCCCCACACAAACCCACATCCTGTCAGAGGACAACACTGCAGCTGCCCCGCTCCATCCTCCTGCCTTCCCTTGACCCCCTCAGCCCCCAGCTTCCACCCTCGCCCACCACCTGCCCCGTTCACAGCGCATGCTGTGAAGGAGCCCCACAAAGCCCACTGCCCTGGGGACACCCAGCTCTGCCCTGCCCAAAGCCCCC